GCCCGGGGTGTCGGTGGGGGGGGGGGGGCATGGCAGCTGGACACCGAAAGGGCTTTACGGCTGAACGATTATTTATTATAGTATTATTTGAACATTTTTACCCTAATAAATGTAAGATGTTACGCAACCATACCAAAATTAGATTAGTCTGGCTCAGAATAAACACTACAGAAAATGTCATTGGCTATTCGCCACCAGTTCGGTCCTGTATGTAAAACTAATAGGCTGAACGATCGATATCAGTGGCACTGTGCAATCATTGCGACTTTGATGGGTTACTAGAATGACGCAGACACCTTAGAAAGAAAGAAAGCGTTCAGCTGGGGCACCCTTCCGGTGCCTAGCTGCCATGCCACCCGAAAGAAGCACGAGGGCTGGGATACTGCATCCGAAAGCCATTCTTAGGTGAGAAAGCACATGCTTTAGCCAACAGACTGCCATACTGTGGACAAATAATCCAAGAAAGGATTGAAACCCAGATCTATGTAGAGAGGAGCGAGTGGCAAGAGCGCGAATTTACTATCTAAAAGATCCGTGGTTCGAAACCGACCTCTGCATCTCGATTTCCCCTGTCTAGACTTGGGTAACCTAGCAGTATTCTAGTCCTCGTGCTTCCTTCGGGGGGGGGCATGGCAGCTGGACACCGAAAGGGCTTTACGGCTGAACGATTATTTATTATAGTATTATTTGAACATTTTTACCCTAATAAATGTAAGATGTTACGCAACCATACCAAAATTAGATTAGTCTGGCTCAGAATAAACACTACAGAAAATGTCATTGGCTATTCGCCACCAGTTCGGTCCTGTATGTAAAACTAATAGGCTGAACGATCGATATCAGTGGCACTGTGCAATCATTGCGACTTTGATGGGTTACTAGAATGACGCAGACACCTTAGAAAGAAAGAAAGCGTTCAGCTGGGGCACCCTTCCGGTGCCTAGCTGCCATGCCACCCGAAGGAAGCACGAGGGCTGGGATACTGCCAGGTTGCCCAAGCCTAGACAAGGGAAGTCGAGTGGCGGAGGTCGGATTCGAACCACGGACCTTCCGGTCAGTAAATTCGCGCTCAAACCACTTGGGCCGTCTCGCACCTCAGCATTTATTCGACTGCGGAACACACATGACAGAATTTCCTGGGAAATTTCCTAGTTGAAACGTAGGTTAACAGTATTAAGGGTAAATAGTAGAAAGGGAAAACATAGATACTGAACGCCTAAGGAACACAACTTTCTCGCCATGCTGTCTGTTACACTCAAGCTACATAATTACTGTCTCCTCTGAATGATGCAGTCGACATCAGTTAGTTACTATGAAAGTTGAGTGCATTGGTGCAATAGTATGACCTATTAGAATGTGGGCACCCACTACGCTGAAAGTGGGGGCAACGATAATAGCACGCTGTTGATGCCTCCCTAGTCAAGTGCCATAGTGGTAACGTGTCTTGTTCAATCGCTAGCCCAAAACAAGCCCCTGTTCACTGAAACTCACGACATCATCGTACGCATTTCTCCATTGGGAGGAGCTTCCTTAGGCTTGAGCTGAGCATCCGTAAAAGATGTACACCTGAGATAGGTTGATTTGAGCTGACATATTTTCATTCAACAAGGAATAGAAGATTAGGGGAGGAAAAGCAAGGTGTCCAGGATGATGGCCCAAGCGCTCTTAATTGATGCTGAACCGTTCTTGCCGTCTGGTAAACTAAGCAGCTATGAAGTGAAGACCAGAATGGTGCAGCAAGTACGTCGCTGAAAGCGCGACTGAATGAAGCCTGCGAACATCGGTAAGCATTGATGAATCGATTCTCAGAGTCCATATCAGGAGAGGCAACAGGCGTCAACCCGAATAAGTTTACTGGTTAACGTTTTCACAAGTGGTTGCCAGGTCACAGACCTTCAGCCTTTCGATCGCTTCCATTGAGCTTATAGCTGGATAAAAACAGCTTTTCGAAGCCGACCGTCCTGTGGTACGCAAAGTAAGCATCCTAACTAGCAAACTATAGAGCGGGATTAGCTAGTATTTCTACACCGAGGCCAAATAATCCTTAAGCCTTGTGGACGGTGAAAACAGTTAAATAAATAAACTCCGAAATGAAGTTACTCCCTTGTGCATACTCTATGCGATGAAGTAGCCAAGAGGAGATGAGGTAGCCACACGAAACACCCGGATTAGTAAAGCGAATTTAGTAATATCATAGCTGTATACTGAGCAGGCTGTAAAAAACCGCATACTTGCTGTACAGTGGTTATAACTGCCACAGTTTCACGTGCCAAAGAGTTGGGAAGATGGAGTGTGGGTGGTGGAGCTGATGCATAAATACAGGAGTCTCAGGGAACTTTTCACTGCGGAGACCGCGGAGTTATGCATTGAAGGCAACAGCTTGGGAGCATGCGCGCCAATATGGCATCACCGGGTCGTCTGACAATGTCTCTAACAATTGAGTTGTTCAGTCTCGGGGTCTCCATCCAGGGAGACGGTAATGACTAACGCAGCCGAGTTTGCTGGTAATGACTTTCATGCTTCAATGCCAAGTATGCGACTGACCTACGAATTTTTCACGCTATGACAGAGTGTGCTCAATTGACTGGCATGGAATCGGAACTGCTACTCGAAAAATGGATTGGCTCTGATTGAACGATGATGCCAGAGCGCCTCCGAGGAGAACGGTATGGAGCCGAATAAAATTATCAGCCATGTTGTTAGTACAAAGGCCCACTCCATGAGGTTCTTGGTCATTCGAGAGTGGTTGCACTCATGTACCTGAAACAATTGGCTCGGCTTAAGGATGTATCAGTGACACTGCAGACTACAGTGAAAGTATGTGCTTGCCTTACACGCATTCATTTTTAGTCTAACCCGCGAAACGTAGTGGTTGGTGCTATCAAGGATAAGGTGTATTTATATTCGAACTTTCGTCCAGACAACGATATCCCGAGCTCAGTCAAGGTTTGTAATCCACATAGCCGGAATTAGTCCTAGAAAGTTGCCGACAGCATGCAGGCGACGGTGGAATTCGAAATCATAGGCGAAAGAGGACAGACTGCCTTCTCTCCATAACCATGAGAACCATCGTGCTTTAGTAGGTCTTGGTGAGATCTAGCAGCCTATCTCGTAAGCCACCAACCATCGACTGAGTTAAATGCTGCACTGAATTCAACAAAGAAAGCTGTGATCGTTTACTGGAGCTCGTAATGGTGTTCCAAAACAGTGCGTGACACGGATCGTTGGTCAGCGTAACCTCCACATGAACAGAACCCTTTCCAATTTGGTCTGACCTAAGAGCAAAGCAAGGCCGCCGAAACCAACAACACGACAGCACTGGAGTTAAGGATACACTCGTAGGCTTCTGAGGCTGAGTGGGGTCCCACAGCCTACATGTCTGTCATAAGCCGATAGCTAAGACAAAAATTATTGCGCAAACAACCGAATTGTTCAATATATTATGCCCAACACCTAGATCTGAAAAACGTAACGAAAAGCAAAGACGGACAAGTGAATGATCGGAGTACTCATACATAATTCAAGCGGATCGGCCCTGGCTACCGGTAGCTGTTGGTAATATGGAGCATAGGAGTCCGGGACTGTACTGTTGGTGGGTGCCAAGTAGTCAAAAGAGATCCACTGTTCCGGAAATCACCATAGATCCTAAAGGCTAGGAATGAGTCTTCTAAAATCACATCACTGACGAAGTTGAGGAAAATATGAAAGAGAACAGTCTTGCTTGGCACCAATGCATGCAGTGAATTCACAGAGTCTACAATAAACCTTCATGAGTCGACAGGAGTTGGTATACAGCACCTTAAGGGCCACGAATTTGAGGGCACTTTTATTCCACAGACGTTGCCATAGTGCCTCAGAATCAAAAGGCAGATTTTAAGTCAAGAAGCAGTGGGAAGAGATGACCATGTTCCAGAATCTATCGGATGGTGAATATGTGATCGATGCATCCACTTGCACGACGGAATCAAGCTCGATTTCCATGGATATGTTTTCCTCTGTGTCCATCGATGGATGAGACCAGAGCATTTGATCCCACAGTTACTGGGGTATTGCCACAACGATTTTCACAGCGCTCGCTTTTGAAGATAAGCCCCCTGCTGGGTACACTTCCCCAATCCCCCTCATTGCGCCAATAAGTTGTCAGGTGGGAAATTAGAGATCTTCCACTTTCTATGAAAAGGACTGGATACAAACCGACCAAGTCCGGGGCCTTCTCGAATTTTAGAGTGATGTTTCATACCCTATGTTTTATGACGGCGATTAAGGTGTACACTTCATTAGCCGCAGACCCCGTCTCCTGGGGTTCTGTTGCAGTAGGTTATCTTAACTGTCCTCGGCTCATCTTTTCAATCAGCGTTTTGGTGAACGAAGTACTCAACAGTGAGTTCTATTTACCATCTCATTAGCAGATGTTTCTTTGGTTAGACGATCGTATTGAGCGGGTAAGGGTACTGTCAATAGGGGGGATATTCGGGATTGAATTTGACTGAGCTGGATAACAGGAGCGACGCAAAGATGACTGTCCGTTGGGATCCGATTGAATCAACCGCGTTCAGTCCTGAGGCTGAGTGCAACTTTCACGCCACATATTCTACAAATCAGCGGTTCCAACACTGGGAGAGTAAAATAGGTAAAAAGCTGTTTGTCTTGGGCGTTTAAAGATGCATGGTCACGTCTGATACATGTGTTCCAGAGACGCAGCACATATCCATCTTATGCGTGTTTAAGGTTTGGGCGAGAATCGCCTGTTCCAAAATCTGACAAGGATTACGCACGTTGACAGCTTGTATATAAGATCTCGTCTATTAACCGCTTCATTCTACTTATTATTAAGAGGCGTGGGTGGATAAACCACATCGATCTGATAGCTGACAACCAAACGACCCGGCGTCATTTGTTTGCAAAGCAAGAAGGAGACATCAGTGAACAGGATCGCGAGGGCAAATAACACCTCCCTTAGGCGGAAGAGGGTCGACACCCAACCGTGAGCACTTGACTCAAATGTCAGACGCGCAAGGCAGCGAGCGTTTGGGTTTTCTTGGGGGATCCTGCCTGCAGCCGATGGCTGGTCTGGCCCACTTAGCCGCAAGGGCCACAGTTATGACCTATCTGGTCCTAACACAGCATCTCAACCCTCAGCCACCAACATCAAATTCTTAAGCTGGATCAGTGTATTCCATCGAAAAACCCGCAGTACTACCAATCCGTGAGTCAGCGTATGGCCAGGCATCGAACATACAGTACAAACTTTGGGAAGACGTCATGAACCACGGATGTACGAGCCGGGACAATGCACGGAAAGAACGTCTTCTGGCCCTAAAACCTGATACCGTTGAAAACAAGTTTTTCATGAACCTCCCCTTCGAAAAAAACGTTGTATTCCGCAGTTAAAAAATAAATCGTTCAGCTGTCCACCCTTCCGGTACCCGAAGGAAGCACGAGCCGAAGGAAGCACGAGGGCTGGGATACTGTCAGGTTGCCGTGCTCCCTTTGGGTGGCATGGCAGCTAGGCACCGAAAGGGTGCTACAGCTGAATGATTACCTTATCTTATTGGTCATTAAATTCGCACTCTAACTGTTTGAGCCATCTCTCCCGCAGTTACACAACAAATGCCAGTAGCTACAGACCTGTCAGCCCTTCGATCACCCATCGGTCTGGTAAGTCGCTACAAAACACTTGCTAAAAATACAATTTATTCGTCAGCCATTAAGCCATTTTTTTTTAAAAAATAAATGCGCTACATGCCACATTCACCCTAGCTTGTATTCGACAAAGGCGTCATTTAGTGCCGACTCACCTACCTATTTTAATCCACTCATGGGTGTTACTGTCGTATGAGATGCGTTTGACTATGCATGAACTGAAGCAGTTAGTCTCTAATTTTCTCACTGAGCCTGAAAAAGTCATATCTTCAACATACATAGAGGAAAAAGACGACCAGAACAAAAATGAACCATGGCAATTGTCTTCGCTAGTGAAGTATCGAAATGATGTACGCACGTCACCTCATTCTCACCACCAACCACCACCACCCCAGTCTACATAGCTAGTCCATTGCAAAACCACACAACCATGCTTTTTGATTACAGCTTCTACGTCAACTAACAACCGGCCTGTGCAAGCAAACGGGCTATGATGGTCGACGGGACCTCAGTTGCCACATTCAGTACGATGGAGACCATCAAAATCCGAGAGATTCCCTTTTTTAAGGTCTGTAGCATCGATACGCAGCCCATCATTTTAAAGGGTGATCCTTTTCCACGACGGGCACCGGCTGAGGCTGTCCTGACAGCCAATATAAGCTGGCCTTTCAAAGTTTACTCAGCTTTTTTGTAGTTGAAGGATGTGCAGTTTTCCGTGAACGTGTGAATGTCACTACAAAGCACCGCCCCTTAACACTTTCAAGTTTGACGTCCTAAAATTATTCACACGAAGACTCTGGCAAGCAACGTCTACCAGCTGGGCGCAGACAAGCAGCTGGAAGCTGGGGCGAGACGCCTCAAGGGGTTAGTGCGCGAATTTACTGGCCGGAAGGTCCGTAGTTCGAACCTGACCTTTGCCTCTCGACTTCCCCTGTCTGGGCTTGGGCGACCTGGAAGCATCCCAGCCCTCGTGCAACCTTCGGGTGGAATGGCAGTTAAGCACTGAAAGGGTGCTACAGCTGACCGATTATTTTATTATTTTGAAGGAAGCTATCCACATGCGTTCCAGCTATCAAACTTCGAGGGAATCGCACGAAAACAGAACCATCCGTACATGAGACATAAACTCATGACTTAGCGAGCCCTGCCAATGACTAACATCACCTACTTCTAGTAGACGTCTACAGCCAGTGGCCGGAATTATTTCTATTGCTTCTTGAATCACTATTCTAAAATAACAAATTGTGTTCAATCATTTTGAGGTTCTGACAACCGTGGTCTCAGAAAACAGTAGTGAGCTCAGATGCGTCCAATTATATGCTTTCCATTAATACAGTACCCAATGTATCGGGGCACTATCATTTCACCAGCAATCCAACGGTCAGCTGGAAAGGAAAAATATCACGGTAACTCAGAGATGGAGGGATATTTCCGGCGAACTGAAGGATAACACCAAAATGACAAGTAGCAAACAACGGCTCTCCGGAAAAAGCACTCATGAAGAGGGCAACCCGTTCATCTTTCATATTATTCGTTTCGGTGGATGCATCGATGGTTGCTGGTTATTTATAGACAAGAGCTCGAACAAACCACTGACGGTTTCCTTCCGAAGCCGGAGCCCCTTTTCTATACATTCGGACAGCATCATTTTGAAATGAGACGTAACCGGAGATTGACCTAGCGTCCTTGGCGAACCTAACCCAACATAAACCCAGCCAACAACAGCCGAAGTGTAGCTAAGCGGTCCGGCTGGGAAATGACAGCATGCGCACCACTAGGATTGGCTGCGTGCTACATCCTCCAGGGACTCCAACCACGTATAAGCAGGATCACGTGAGCCCAGCGGGGAAGCCACGAAGATCCCACATCCAATATAACTTACGAGGCATCACCGAATTCACACCATTTGTTCTCTTGTCAGACCATATTTATCTTGACTCAAGGTCTTCCTCGTGCCGAATTGGGCCGGGAAAGCGCTCTTTTCGGTAGTTAATAACCCGGCATGTGTAGCAGGTGACCAACCACCGTGTAAACTCTGCAAGTAGCAAAGGCTTCCTCAAACGTTTCTTGATCAATGTACAGTGTATTTGTTGATTCCGGTCGATTCCAACTGTTGTTCTGAGGCATCGGTGGTGATCGATGTGGCCTTGGTCTTGGAAAGAACTCGGGACACAACGATAGAATACGCTCTCCACGAGGATACACGATGATGGCAACTAAACGACTCTCAACAAGCGATGACTTGAAAAGGCTGTAACCTAAATCGGAAAGGAGTTCCCGGTTATCCCGAAAATCCAAACAAACAAGTCCCCAGACGCCATACAAACTGGGGACAGTAACCTACTAAACCAGATTAACTAAGCCAGATTAACAGGAATAGCAGGTTGTTCCAGTTCACCGACACTGCACTGTGATAGGCGAAACCATCAAGGGGTACAACCGACGGATCTTAGGACTGGAGGCACAATATTTTGAACTAACCATCGGTGGAAGAGACCTCATGTAAACACGGGACCCTCGGACCCTCAGCTCCCGGTCCCAACAACGCTCATTGGTGATGCCCCAACCGGAGGTTAAAATCGCATTTATCACAGTGAATTTGTAATAACTCCACCCTGAAATAATTCTACCTACTCACAAGAGCACTGGGTTGAGTGCAGTGTTCAGTCAACTCAAATATCCTTAACGAGACTTTTAGCATCAGTTTCCTTCCACAGCGATACACAGACTCACTATGGGAGGGGCGTGGGATTCAGACCAGCTGGAGGTTGTATTAGCCATTCCTCCACATTGAGAGCAGCGTGACATCAGTGGTGAGTTCGACCCTGTAGACCCTTTACTTATTCTAAACAAGCCTGCTGAATAATACATCATAAACGGTAGATACAATGCACTAAACATATTCGTCTACATGCAGGCATGAGTGTGGGGAGTGGGTGGGAATATCCTTAAGTTGTCTAGTAAGAATGCCTACTTTCTCCAATAATCCTGGATTTCAAATCGTTGCTGATGAAAACAGAGAGCCGAACGACAACCTCTCATTTTTTTGAAACACAAAAACTTTCAGGAAGTCTGAGCAGGTCTCAACGTCTTCTGCACTCCGCTTAAGGTCACGCTCCAAGACGTATGGCCTTTGATCACGCCTTACTACTTGTTGACTGTATTATGTAATCCAATGTGACGGTCAGTGCACGCATGCGGGAAGCCCGAATCGGGTCTAGGAATGCGCACCACTTACGGCGTCAAAGCGACAGTTCCCTCGATCAGTCACTGTTAGGTAGCTGAACGGATAAGACCAACGACTATAGGCGACTTGAGAACGAGCTGATTTCCCCAACAGTCCCACATACATGTACAAAATAATGCCACAATGCGAAGCTGTTCAGTTATGGCACTGAGAATGTCCTTGCAGACGGGAATTCTGGGGCTCATCCAAGGCTCCGAAAACCGATGGCTCATATTCATACCCCGAAAAGGTTGGCATCAACGGTCAGCAAACGGGATCCCAGCTGCACAGCAGGCAATGATGCCGGAGCTGTTCCTAGAATGTGCATGCACTTCTCTCTAAATACTACTGGCGTTCGAGGATGTAGGATACTGCGAACAGACGGGGAAAACGTGACCATATTATCTACGCTTAATGACCGAGTCACACAACCAAACAGAAATGGACGCAGTAACATGTTGCACACTGGTAGCAGAGAGATAGTTGTGAGAGAGCTGTCTGCGGGTTGGTTCTACGCTCCTCTGAATGAGAATGAACGTAATGGCTACCGAGTATTTCTCGCGTCAGCAGCAGAAAACACGCATGAAAGCCAGAAATCATATGGGACGCACTACAAAGCGCTGGGGCACTCTGTAACTGATTGACTGATGGTCCAAAGAAATCCCACTAACTTAGATCACTAGTGTGCGAGATGAGGTGGGAACGAATCTACGCTTTCTCAAGATGGGACGCATCGTGCATCACGCTGTCATTCAGCAGTCAGTATGACAAGGAAGTTGGGGATGACAGTCATCAAAAACCGTGCTGTCGTGGTGTGATCCACTTGATCACCTTCGAAAAATGACTGGAAGGTAGCTAGATGGGTCGGACCTCTCTTTTAGCGTGGTAATCCAAACCTCGATGGTTCCACTTCGCGTTAGGCGACTAACAATCTGAGAAGGTACCGCATGAACCCCACGGGCGGAGGTCGAGTGAACAAGAGCAGAGACAGATCCGTGAAGATCAAGCTGGGTTTCGTCCTGCAAGAGGATGCACCATCGCATTTTCACCCTCCAACGGATTTTGGAACAGCTACCGTTTCCAGCAACCAACAATGGTTGTCTTCCTTAGCTTGAAAGCTGCATTTGGCTCTGTAGACCGCCAGGCGCTATGACAGTCTCCCCTTGTCTGAGTTCACCACATCAAGTGGTGTCAGGCAAGGCTGTCCTCTTTCACCGTTTCTCTTCAAATTTGTCATTGATACGATTATGTCACTATCAGCCTCGAATGCGGGGAATCGCTCACAGATACCAAGTATACAGAAGAGACAATTCCTCTTGGAGCTGATCTCGTAATGCAAACAATATGAAATAATCTAACCAAGTGTTTCACGGTTTGACATACGCTTCAAACGTACAGCATAGAGTGCTACTGTGAGACCGGGTGGGCTTGCAGATGAGCCGGTTGAAGTAGTACACAATTTTTTTTACCTTGAGAGCTTTATTAGTCCCGGTGGACCCTCAAAATATATGTTCATCTGGGATTGGGAATATCAGAGCAGCTTTCGTTCATCACCCGTGGCGTGGGCCCGACATCATCTTATTCGTCAAGGATTAAGTTTACAATTCTGCGGTGTGCCCCATATTGCTATACGGGACACTGCACAATGAGGACGGTAAAACACTTCCCGCGTTTGACCACCTTCGGAATACTGCCCGAGTCTGATGAGAACACCGGATTCGTAACGATGAAGTACGTAGAATGGTCTTCGGAAATCACTAACTCACAAAAGATGAACTGATCACAATCCATAAGTTACGCTGGCCTCGTTACGTGCTCCATATGCCAGTTGACCGACTTATACGAATAGCCCTTTTCGTACAACCACGCGAAAGGTGGTACCGAGTCAAGGAAGGTCAAATAATGGCTTGGTAGCCAATAATGAGCATTCAACAACGCATCTGTGATAGTCATTGCCGTCTCCCTGAATAGGGACTCCGAGGCAGGGCAAGTCAGTAGCCAGATATTGCCATGCACCGCCGTCGCTCTCATGCATCCAAGCTGTTGGCTGCAAGGCAAACTCTCCTCCGATCTCCCCAATAAAGACTCCACTGACAACCCCGTATTTACACGCCAAGTAGATCAACTACTACACCCAATGCCTAACTACCTATCCTATATTCCGAAAACATCGGTGAACGAAACTGTTGCAGCTATACTCACTGTGCGACAACTATGCGTTCCTTACAGCTGATCATGCAGCTGCCTTTCGTTTTGCCCAGATGTCAGTCTACCCCGGAAAACGCGAGCTGAGATACTACCGGGATGCCCAAACATAGACAGCCGTCCTGGCGAAAGGTGTATCGTAGAAGTCCCCTTCGGCAAGAGTGGCGGACTGTGGTTTCGAGTTCAGTGCTCTCCTCCATATGTTGGTGTGGATTCACCAGAACAATCATAACAGGTCTAAATGGCTGCTGGGAAGTGTAAAAAGGACAAAAAGAGGGCGAAAAACGTCTGTTCTGAGGGCTTTCGCCGCCTGTATCGGTCTTGATTATAACAGATGAAATAAGACCCATCGTGCACACCACACAGGTATGGTACTCACCTTCTGATATGTTACTGGGGGTTGTCGTAACTCTTCTAGCGCCTTAGGATCCTCCCTAATATCCAACTTTGTGCCAACGAGAATTATGGGAGTGTTGGGAGCGTAATGTGATACTTCCTTATGCCACTTTGCTTCAACGTTTTCAAAGGAAGCCACATTGACCAGCGAAAAGCAGATTATAAAGACGTCAGTCTGAGGATAGGATAATGGTCGCAAACGGTCATAATCCTCTTGACCTGTAGATCAGTAAGATCATAGGTGCTAAAAAAACTCACCTGCAGTGTCCCAAAGACCCAGATTCACAGGTTTATTGTCCACCATGACGTTGGCCGAGTAATTGTCGAACACCGTGGGGACATACTCTCCGGGAAAAGCGTTACTTGTGTAGCTGATCAGCAAACACGTTTTCCCAACCGCTCCATCTCCAACAACAACACACTTTATTGCTTGCATATCTTGATATCCTACAGCAACTAGTAACGCAAATCCACCAAATGAAGATCTAGGGAAAAAGGCGTATGGAACCGAAAGCAAATTGATCGACCCGCCTTCGGGATGCGGTCGGCTAAAACGATTCGCACTAAAGCTCACGGATTAACGGATTGATGCGCAAGATCGAGGCCATTGCCCAAGTTTCC